TGCTTATATTTAAACACAGTGACACAGTGGCAGTCGTAGTTCAAGTAAACTAGACCAGTGTAAGAGGTCTAACACATAACTGTTTGTAAAAACTTGAAAGGATTTAAAAAATGTTTTATATAAATCAGATTAGTATTTTTATTTATTTTTTATAATGTAAGTTTTTTAAAATAACAAAAATAATTATTTTAAAATATAAATTAGTTTTATTTATCCACATATCAATATTGGTTAATTCGTCCACATTGACAAAAACATATAGTGACTAAAATAATACGTCGTCATAGAAAAGCAACTTTCACTAAATTATTTTTCACGAGAATGTTCTTTTTAGTGTTCGGTGCTTCGACCACAGTCATATAAAAAAATATGGTCACTTTATAATAACACGTTAAGTTATACAAAAGCACTGTTTTACTAAATTATTTTGTATTTTAAATTCGCAAAAATAATTCAAAATTCATATCATATTCAAAATTCATATTCAGGGAAACAAGTACTATTACCCCTAAAAAAACTGATCCCCACTTAAAGTTACATCCTGCATAAGCACAAACGGGTGCCAGGCAAGACAAAAACCTTACAAAACTTTACGAATTCACAACGCAAATGCTTTATCAAGGCATCTTATTACGATTTTTCTTTGTTTTTTTTTTTGTATTGTGCCGTACCTGTTTGTGCTTAGGTGTGTACCCGCCTTAATAATTGCCAAAGAAACTTAATATTTTTCGAAAAAAAAACAATTATATTAAAGTACTTTGCTATAAATTGCATACATGCTTTTCTATTATATTCTGACTTCTGACACGTTAACCTATTAAATATATGTTGTGTATACTGGCCTGATGTTATTTATAGTATAGTTGACATAGTTTATTGAATTTATTTGACCCTTTGAGTCCATTTTAGTACATATTTATCTCCTTAGAAATTATGCTGCAGTGAATTCTCTGTGTTAAATGTCGTTGAATATCTGCTATGCAAAATATGTACAAATGATTTACAAATAAATTAATTTCTTCATAATTTAATCTCGCATTATCCAAATTAAAGACGTAAAAATATAAAATAATATAGGTACCAAATAAAAATAAATTAAATATTCTAGAATTCATTTAAATATTAATAACTTAAAATTACTATTAAAGTTTACCCAATACTTTTTTATGGTAATATTGATTTAGTTGTTAATTGTTTTACTATTTATGAATAACAATTACATTTAGTAATTTTGCAGAACTAATATATTTTATAGAATGAAATAGACCATAAGTAACATTTGCAGTTTTGCTAAATTTATTTTTTTTCAAACTCACTGATATGTCATAATCAGGCACAGTTATACAATCTCTATTTAGGGCTATCAGAACTAAGCCGCGGGACACAGGCGTACGCATTATTTATTAAAAAGCAACAAATGAAATTATCTCTAATACACCACCGTAAACACCAACGGATAGGAATTAATTACGCAACATCCGCATGATAACAAACAACACTATACTAATTTGACGTGAAAACCATTCTGGGGCAGCGGCTCACGCATGTCTCGGTTGACTCGCTTGGCACGCCATTGAATTGCGGCTCTCTCTGACAGCCCTATGTATTGTTATAATCCTTATAATTTTTTTTTCTTTACCTCATATTGTACCATTAAGAAGCTTGAAACTTGTTCTAGAACTTTGCTTATTAGTATGAAGAAAATCCTCAAAAAAAAATTATGACTAATTTGGATACCTAAGAGACGAGATATTAATAAAAAAATTTTTCACCATTTAGTACAGAGAATGCAGATTTTTTTGGTCTTTCCACTTAGAATGCGCAGCAATTGACAAACAGTTTTTACAGCAACTTGTATAAATAGGAAACTGATATCTAAGGAACCGTATGACAGCTCGTAGAAATCGATTAGGTACTTGTAAGGTATTTAATTTATAATAATTCTCCTTCAAACTGCTGTCGTTGACTAACTTATCCTTCATATGCGTGATAGCGGCAACGCGGATTATTTGAAATTCGCAGGTGTCCAAACAAACAGAATGATCGAACGGGAGCGAGCGAACGCAGAGCCGAGCGCTCCAGCCAAGTACAACGTTGTCAAATCTAAAGGCTTACTACTTTAGTCACTAGCAGAAACTCTCGTTGAAATTAGACGTACCTCCGTACCCGATAAACCTCCCTAAAGGTATAGATAGGCGAAATATGTATAAGAACTAAGAAGACCATGCAAAATGTGTTTTTTTTAAATTAATAGTTAATTTTAGTGTTCCTAAGTAAATGTATTTTTTACAAGCGTTTATTTAACTTCACATGTATGTTTGTTTGTATGAAAGTTTAGTTCAAATCTTGCAAGCCATTTGAACATGTTCCTCTAAACTTGCGACTTTGAAATTTTACATGCTTGTTCAGTTCTGATGACGATATACTAAAATGATAGAAATAACCTGATGCTGCAGCCAGCATCGTCCCTCACGAGGGCACACTTCAATAGTTAGTAGCAAGGAAACGAAACTTTGCATATAGGTTTAATTTTCATAGCTAAACGTGATCTTCGCTATGAACTGATGCTGATGCTCAACGATTAGTAGCAGAGGCGTTACTTGAAATGGATAGATTCAGAAATATAACTAAAAAGGTGTAAAAAAATGAAAAGTAAAAAAATATTTTGAAAACAAGCTTTTATTAAAATGCACTTTAAAGAAAAAAATAAACCAAGGAGTTCATAAAACCCATAATGTTGTGTAAAGCCCAAACCCACAAAAGGGTAGAATATGACTGTCATCAGCTAGAGTATGATAAATGGACATAACTATCTATAATCAGTATCTTCATGTTCTTATGCGATTTAAAAGCTTAAAATGACGTTAACTATTTTGTTGTCTGTTATGTTGTAGAGAACAAATATGGGGTACTATAAGGGTACTATAAAACAGAATGACAGTTAACCTATTGTTTTTTTTTGCTTTAATTATTTGCATTGGATATGTATGTCTAGTATTATGTTCATGTTGTATATTTAAAAGATTATATTTAGTTTTTTGCTGTAAACAAATTATTTTGAAACTATATATGTATTTCTATAATATCAAAAAGTTCAGATTCGGTATACAGGGAGATTCATTAACAATAGGAAAGTCGAAAGCTGAAGATACTACACGTGAAATGGTGACCATTGGCGCAAACATGCCTTATCCGAAAGTTGATAGTTTCGGAAAAACAGGTTGTTGAAAGTTAAAATTTTAAATCGTTTTTTTGCGATTATTCTGAAAATATGTAGGTTAGGAACTTGAAAATTTGTGAAACTATATTTTTTTAGGCGACGAATAAGATGCGTGTTGTAATTTCAGCATTGCTCATAGAGGGCGCCACTTATGACCAATTTTACCGAAAATTTAGTTAATAACTTTTTACCCTGTATATTTAACATGAAACTTGATTCAAAACCTGAAAGAGC